TCTTACTGGCAAGGGCTCTGTCACTCCCTTCCTCCTGGGCACTGGCTGTGGCAAGTCCCTCCGCTTGGCCTAGTCCAGAGGCCATTCTCCTTGGAACAGGGTCAGGGCTCCACCAGACACTATCACTCTTTCTGAACACTGGGCTGGGCCCTGGGCCTGCTGCTGGGAGGTAGTGTCTTTGAAAGCCTGGGACAGGCACAGAGTGGCTAAGTTTGAGTCACCTGACACACTTGTCCCCAGCTGAGACTGAACTAGACAGCTCCCTGCCTTCTAGCTCAGCTCTCATACTGTGAACAACAGCCTGTTTTGTGGTCTATTTGTGCCATGTTTTTCAAATTTTGGTGCTTTTTGTTGGTGATTTTGTTGTTTCAAGTGGCCCGATACAGAGCTAAGTGCGGCCCATGTTCCTAAGCCCGAGAAGCAATGGTTCATTGCTCCTGGAGGAAATAGAGTTAGGTCCCTGCTGGCCCTGGTAACATTTTGGTGAGCTGATCAAGACATAGCCTTATGTTGTTTCTGTTTAAAGACATCTAGTGTACGTTGTTGATTTAATAGCACTGAACGAAGCTTACCTAACATACATATCTTCTCTGTAAGGGGCATCTTGTGCCAAATTGCCTGGAATCTGGGGGCTGGTGGGAAAATCCCTGGAAAGCAGGTCTGCTCCATTCCCAGTGCATTCCAAGTCCTGTGCATGCCTGGTGTATGTGGTCTGGCCACTTCTGGGGGTCCCTCAGTACCATTTTCCCTGCAGTGAACTTGGCTCTCTCCCAGACAGCAGATGGCCTGCCACCTCTGTGTCGATCTGCCATAGTCTGTGAGGTGTCACAAGGTGCCGACACACACCATTAGGAGCGTCAATCATTTGTTCCCGGTGTGGTTGGTGAAGAGACATCCAAGACATTAAGATGTTCTTTCACTTATTCAAAAATTATTAGTCAGTTTCTATGTTCTAGGCACTGGGGATACAGTGGTGAGTAAAATAAAGACTCTGCCCGCACAGAGTTCACGCTTTGTTCAGGCGGCAGAGACAAGGATCTAGTAAACAAGCAGGCGGGCAGTGTCACATCAGTAATTAAGCCTCAGTTTGGTGCCTTGGGCTTAGCATAAAAGACTCCATTTTGGTCCTGTTGTCTTGTTCTCAGCAGTATATATTTCTATTCCCTTCGTATCTGTCTATTCTGGCTTTTAAGATCTGACTTCTCCCCCCCAAAAAATGTTTCATGCAACATACAGACAGAATAGTGGATAAAACAGATACACTCAGCATAATGAATAATTATAAAGCGAATACTTGTAGAAAAACCACCAAATTAAAAAATAGGATATTGTCATTATTCTAGAGGTACCCCCTCAAATGTCCCTTCCTATATAAACTCTCGTTTTCCCTAGAAGAAACCACTCTCCTAATAATTACCACCTGTGCCTGCAACTCTAACCTACATTTTAATTTTGTCTTAAAAAATGTTACATAAATAGAATCAAACTATATGTATTTTTTTGAGTCTTGCTCCTGTTAAAGTAATTAAACAAAGAGGCAAGTGGACTGAGGTGTCTCTAATGCCTTTGTAGTCTAACCAAGCAAACAAAGCTAAGCCAGAGTTCACTCACTGCAACCTAAGGAAATGAAACTTTCAAGCAATCGATCGCAAACAGCCCGCTGGACTTTCCTAGGTAAGGCAACTGCTGCAGCTACAGCCAATGAAACGACTTCCTGGCTTCCCTTCCGTGTCTTCTCTATAAAAACCTGTCCCCTAGCTTCTGTCCTTGGAGCACACCTAGGGAGATGTGAGCCCAGGACACCAACTGGAGCCCACCTCACGCATTTGCATGAAGGGACCACACCACACACCCTGACTCCATCGGGAGGCCTTGGTCCCAGTGATGCTGGGTGGATGTTTGTCCTGACAGGGCCTTGGTTTCTACACCTAGCAAATGGAAGTGACTGTGTGATGGCCAATACCTGTGCGGAGCAGAGGAGCTTGTCAGCATGAGCAGGTTCTGTGACGAAGGAGGGCTGAGCCCACAGGAGTGTGTGGCAGGAGGGCCTTCTAGATGACAGGCACCTCCTACAAACTCTTTCCTCTGAGGGGGCCCCATCCTTTCTCTAGGAGTCAAGTTGTGTCCTCAGAACCCCAACCTCCACCAGCCTCAGCCTGTGACCTCAGCATCCCCAGGATTGACATTAAGCAAGCACATGGTCGTCCACTGCCCTAATCAGTCGTCATGGGACCTGTGGGTGGACACCCTGCACCACAGTTTGGTTCCTTGTCCCAGAAGCCCCATTCCTGCTCACTGTTGCTCCCCAGCAGGGAGCTCTGCTTCCCCTCCTGGGGGCAGTGTCTCATGACCCTGTCCCATAGCCCTCCTGGCTGATCTAGACCAGAGCCGGAGCACAGCCAACACCCAGGAGAGTGAGGCCTGGAACCCAGCCAGCAGACCTTATCACCACCCTCCAGGCTCCGTGCGCAGCGAGGCTGCACACTGAACTTTCTGATGCCAGCTCCCCTGACCCCCCGAAGCTCTAGCTGGACCCTGGACTGAAGTTTGACCTGATCCAGAATTTAATCAACAAAAGGAAAGGAAGAGGGCTCTCCCCTCTGGGAGTTGGCAGGGGCTTGGGAGAGCTGGAGGTGAGCCAGGGAGGAAGCTGGCCTCAGGGGCCCTGCCCATGGGGCATGGCACTTCTTTCTAGTCTGGAGCTCAGTCCTGGGCATGGAGAGTTGGCCTGTCTGCCCCGGGGTGGCTGGTCTTGCTGTGCCGCTGGAGGTGGGAGGGGCTGGGGGTGGGACATGAGATAGTGCAGCTTCGGTATCGGCGCTGGCATTTGTTCATTTCCTTATTTCTGTGGGCTCCTTTGATGTCCCTGCTTCGTCAACTGCAGCTAATTTTGATGGGCAGTAATGTGCTGGGGCTCCCAGGTCATGAGGGCCTGGTGCCAGTGTGGGAGGAGGGGGCCACTGGCAGAACATTCTGGGTAGAACAATCCAGGTCCTTCTGGGCACTGCCTGCCCAGTGGGGACATGCACTTCCCAGCAGGGACACCACTATCCCCTCCTTTTCTAGGGGGACAATGGCGGGGTGTGGCTAGGAGAGCACAGCCCAGGGACCTACTGGGACTTAGGTACCATAACTTTTGTCCATTCACAAATATCCGCCTCTCCCCCCCCCTCCCTTCCCGCTTCAGCCACTGACAGGAGCTGGCAGTTGAGGGAGGTCCTTTTTCCAGGAAAGCTCTGCTTGGCCGGGCGGCAGCTTGGGGGTGCCGAGGAGGCGACTCAGAGCTGCAGCCACATGCATGCTTTCATGGCCGTGCCTTTTAAAAAGAAACTTTTCACCGGCACATGACACACATGCAGAAAAGTGGGTGAAGATTTCGGGGCTAGGCGAGTCATCACAAAATGAACACCTTCGTGTAATCACCACCGAGTCAAGACAAACCCCACGTTACCGGCACCTCGAAGCCCCACTCCTGCCCCCACTGATCACTTCCCTGCCCCCTACCCCCAAAGCTATCACTCTCCTATCTGGGGACATCATAGGCTAATTCTCCCTGCTCTTGAGCTCTCTGTAAATGCAGCCGGGTGGGAGGCACTCCTTGGCATCTGTCCTCTTTTGCTCAGGATTATACTGTGGGATGATTCAGCCACGTGGGAGCTGTGTTCTCATTGCTTAGTTTGTAGACGGTGCCCTTGGATCTCGAACCACCCTTGCAGGCAAAAGTGGTTGGCAAGCGAAGGCTTGACTGGAAGGAACCGCTGAGCTAAAGGCAGACCCCACGAAGATATTTTCAACTGAGCGACACCCCCTCCACCAACACGGCAAGGAGTCGGAAAGCCGACTCTGCGTAGCCCTGCCAGGGCAGGTCTGGGTTGGCCACCTGTCCCCTTCGGGCTTGGGGACCACATTTGAAGATGGTATCAAAGGAAACATTCAGCTCTGAGGCCATCTGATTTTTTGGGTAAAATTATTTCATAAGCGCAACCTCAAGCCAGAGTATTTCCAAATATCCTGGAAATTGCTCACTTCCCTGCCTCTTTCCCTCATTTTCAAATAGCCCTGAGGCTCTGCTTCATCTGCCAGGTCCCCAGGCTTTGCCCACCAGTCCCTCATCCTATGAGGCGTCTTCTGCTTTTACGCCCTCCTCTTGGTCCTCTGGCAACCGTGTGGCATCTGCCACTGCCTCCCGTCAAGGGGCAGCTTCCCTGGTGGCCAGGGGACGGGGCTGAGGACCAGCTGGGCCTGGGCTCTCTCCCAGGTTTAATTCTCACATCTTAACGTCACTGCTCAGGCTGCATCTCAATACGTTCTTTGTTGCACTGACATTTGTGGGCAACAGAGTGACCCGTAAAATAATAACTATTGTCCAAAAGCACACAGACCCTTCCGAGGCCAGTGAACGTGCCCACTGGTCTCCCTGCAACCAGGGCAGACGCTTCCTGCTCGCGCTCGCGGACAGGCCGCCGTGTGGTCACTAATCAATTATAAGTAAGCGTGAGACGTGACTATACAAAGCTGCTCCCCCTCTCTGCCCCCACCCCCCTCTCTCTCTTTCTTTTTTAAGATTTTAAAATTGATTTTTAGAGAGGAAGGAAGAGAGAGAGAGAGAACAGCCTCCTTCTGAGGTCACGTGCACTCTCCATGGCTCCTGGCCCTCTCCACTGCCACTCTCCGTGACCCCTGCCACTGCCTGCTGACGGGCAAACCCATCGCCTGTTCTCAGTCAGCAGCACAGTGACCTTCAGCTCTTGGGGAAGTGACCAAGGGGCCACATGGGTTCTGGGAAGGCTTCCCTTGCAGCCCAGAGCACTCGAGAGGCGGGAGGGAGAAGATGTTGCAGAGCAGAGGGAGGACCTGGGAGCCGGAGGCAGCAGGCTGGGAGGCAGACGAGAAAGTGCCAAGAGGAGCCGCGGAGGCTGCCGGGAGGGGAAGTCTGAGGGACTGGGGGGCTGAGGGAAGAGGGCAGGAGTGGTGAGGGAGACAGGGAGGTGTAGAGAGAGGAGGGGGCACAGAGNGGCTGGGAGGCAGACGAGAAAGTGCCAAGAGGAGCCGCGGAGGCTGCCGGGAGGGGAAGTCTGAGGGACTGGGGGGCTGAGGGAAGAGGGCAGGAGTGGTGAGGGAGACAGGGAGGTGTAGAGAGAGGAGGGGGCAGAGAGACACACATGGAGAAACTGAAGCTGACCGATTACATATTTTCCCCAGATCTGGGAAGCGGGTAAGAGAGAGCGAGCTGGCTTCGAATCCCACGCCTGAGGTTTTATTTACAACCACGGCCACTGCCTTTTGGGGACACCAGACTAGTGAGTAAAGGAAGGGGCAAGGGAGGTGTGGCTTTGAGATGTGAAGAACTGAGCCCAGGGGAGAGGAGCACAGAGCAGGTGGAGGGGACGGGAGGGAACTGGGGACTTGGAAGAGCACATAAAGACTCCTTTAAGCCAGTGAGGGAAAGGCTGCCCAGCCAACTGAACAAATGGGCGGACGACACAGGCAGCCACATGAGCAAAGAGGATGTCCAAGTGCCCCCCGCGCCCCCCAGATGAAAGGATACTCACCTTCATTAGCCATCAAGGAAAGCTCCGATTAAAGCCGTGACGCCACGTCACCACAGACTCAACAGAGTGGCCGCGCCAGGCAGGGAGCGCCAGGCGCCGGCGAGGGCGCCAGGCGCCGGGCACTCTCACGAGTGTTGGTGGGAAACTTTGGAAAACCGTTCGGCAGAGGTTCTATCTGGGATAATTTATTGAATCGTACATTTATGTTTTTACACTTTTCTGCATGAGAGTCATTTAGACATTTTTTGAAAAAAGATTATTTGGCCAGCTTGAGTTCGGTGACCCAAAATGGTCAGTTGTCTGTAGCTGGATCAAAAGGGCCATGTGGTCAAGGGTAGCCCTTTGCCAGGCAGCAAGGGTGAGGAAAGGAGAGGTGGGAGGGGGAACAAAAAAGCCATGATCTCTTCTCAGAGGGAGTTTACCCAGAGAATAAGCGTCCCCCCCCCCCCTTATCTCTGCGTTTCTCAGATATGTTGGCTTGGCCTCTTCAGAGTCATGGTTCCAGAATTTTGAGAGGAACTCAGGCCCCTTCCCTTCCCTTCCCTTCCCTTCCCTTCCCTTCCCTTCCCTTCCCTT